AGTTGACGGAAATTGGGACATATCTCTTCATTTGATAATAAAACGGAAGACAAATGGAAGAGAAAGGCAGGAATAAAAGAGGATCATAAAGAACGCCGTAAAGTGTGTGGAGAGAGAGAGAGAGAGAGAGAAAGCAATTGATGTACAAATGAACGTCAATGGAGAAAGTAATGAAATGTAATAGAAAAATCAAAACAGAAAAACGTCGAAAATATCCAAAAGAGGAAAAAGCAAAGAATAAACAAAGAAATATGATATACGAAATCAGTAATATGGTGAAAATAAGAAAGAAGGAAAGAAAAACGGAAAATAAAACTGGTATATAGTCATTGTTATTTATTTTTTACATATATCCGAATGTCCCGACTGTTACTGACTGAAGATTGTACATTATTCCGAATTATTAAATTGGGCTTTGGCGAGCTTCATTTGAATACCTAAGCTTTACTTTCATTCGAACATCAACGACCGGTGTTTGGAGACTCATTACTGCATCCAGCTAGTAGCAAGCCCATTTATTCTGTGTCGATATTAGATTTTACAAACGCAGAAATGTATTTCCTTTTCGGGGTTAGGAAAACTATATAACGTCTTTGAAGACCGTCTGATGGCTTTGAAGATCACCATTCAGCAATCCCGTTTCATCGAACATTTCTTGCAAGGGGCTTACCCATAGTGATGATTAGCAATCTTGTAGATTACTCACTCCTTTGTGTTCAATCCTCATAGGTGACTATTCTGTTTGGACTCTTTGCCGACTAATCTAAATTTGTTAAGACGCGGGGCGATGGTTAACAAGCTAATCTCGCATTGTTGGTTTTCGATCTTTATTGAATTATATATACGACATTTACCAATCACTGGCACCGAAGAGAAAGACGAAAACATCTCAGCCACCAAGCAGGTTTTTATAGATCGATAGTGAGGAACTTAGGGTGAGAAGAGGGTAATAGGATGTGCGAGCACTGTAAAAGAGTGAGAAAGGAAAAAAAACATCTGGGTTACCTTTTGGCATCGGAAGTTGAAGTAATGAAGAAAAGCAGTTAAAAGAATAAAGAAAAAGTAAAGTGATTGAGAAAGAAAAGCAGAAAAGTATATCCTATTCTTTGTAGTTACTTTCAGAGATAGGAGTGAAGCGTTTTCGTTGACAAGAAAATAAAAATAGACGCACGCAGAGAGAGAGCTCAAAGGATTCTTCTATTGGCTAATCTGATAAAGCATCGAACATGGAAGCCCAATTTGACACGAAAAAATAACTACGCCAGCCGTATTCACATATTAATCTCTCATCCGTTCATAAGTCTTGCTTCTAAGCAATTCAAACGCACAAATAACAACCTACATGTACGTATAAACATAACAATGCTACAACAATAGAGACACCCTAAACTTATTCATGTTAATTCATTATTTATTAAACGTCATAAATTTATTATTATATCAGTATTCAGAGAATGTAGGTATTGTCAAAACGTTTGGAATCTAACGCTTTTGGTCATACTTGGAGCCACTATCAAATTCAGAGACCTTAATACAAGGATAAAATCTATAGATACTACCTTTTTTTTTCAATCGTTTCCTTTTCGCGTTGTTATGATGGCATAATGCACAAAACGTTCTAAAATAATTTTTTACTATACAAAAGAGATGCGTTGTTAAATGTATCAAAATTCTAATGCTCACACTTATAATGGATTCTATTACAGCAATGAAAGCAAACATTAAAAAAAATTCGTAACAAAAAGGATATATTCCGGTAAATTGGTTATATCGAAATATAAAGAATAAAAAACATTTAAACCAGTTTATCGGTCCTCACTTATCAGAACAAAAGTCGAAGATAAAAAAAATCATGGTCAGCTACTAAAAATATACAAGCCCAGACTAATGTTGTATGCAAACAAAAATATAACATCAAAGGTTAACTACCTTTAAGCCCACCAACCGCTTCTGCTTAAAGAGAGATGGCTGGTAGAACTTAATGTATATTAATTCCAAAATCATAAGCACTGCGAACATGTCAGTGCTAAAAGTCCAAGCATACTGCTGGTTTTTAATTTAAAAAAATCCTCTGATACATTAACACATACGTACCTCCACGAGATCGCTAAAAAAGAGCATAGCATGAAGAAAAGGACGCCAAACTTGACGAAAACAAAATTTTATCGTCTAAATGTTTATTAGTAAGAGGAAAGATCAAAGTATTTTGGTAGTATTTTTTACATTTTTTAATCGTTTGAACCAAGCATAACCTAGCTTCTGCGCCGAAAAGATGTAATTTGAAAATAAAACAAAGCAGGTCATAAACTTTCGCGTCACTTGACAAGTGATGAATGACATATTGACGGATTCCGTGAGGATAATTTTTTCTACGGAAGGAGAAAAGTGAAATAATTTACATTTAAGTGAACAAATTATTTACCGCGTTATTTTTTAAGTAAAACTTTCAGCGCTCTATTTTTTTTTTTTTTTTATACTTAGCTTTCACCTTTACGTTTACGATGCTTTATGGAAAATATATTATTAAGAAATTAAAATAAGTCTCTTAAGAGTGAGATTGAATTTCATATTTTATAAGAAAGGTATCTAATTAATTTATAGGTACCTTTCTTATGAAATTTTATCAGAAGTGTACATAAAATACTATAATTTTATGTACATTTATTACATTTTACTGTGTTATTTGTATTTCCATTCATTTTATTATTAATTTTGATATTTCATTTATGGAAAGATGTCATAACTGAAATTAATATAAAAATAAGATCATATAAATTTCATAAGATGATACTGATACTTGTTGAAATTGGAAAATCAAATAAACTTCTCCACACGTGTTTCGCGAAAGTAAAGGCCTTAACATTACCGCCCGATTATAAACACAAAATTTCTTTTCTTAATTACTGCGGGTCCTCTGATTAGTCAAAATGATATAATTTACAACGCGCTAAAAAAAGATCTATCTCATAAGGACACTTAGGAAATCCGATGCGGCTTTTAACTAATTTTATAATATTTTAACAACTTAAATGTAAAAATCTATTATAATTAAAAAAATAACAAATAATTGTATTAAAAATTCATTTTTCATCGAAAAAATTTTTTGCTTTTAGAAAATATTGTCCATAATCATAAAAACAACTAAAAGTAAATAAAAACATTTGAAATTAAATATCTTTGTTTTATTGATTTTTGTATGTTACAATTCAGAGCTGATTTTTAGCTAGGGTGAGGGAGGGGTCCAATTAAAAAAAAAAAAAAAAACATGATTTGCATTCCTCAAAGTCTTGTGCTTTTAACTATTGTAATCACTAAACCCGATGCGATCGAATTTCTAACGTTTTCATAAAATTGGGGTGGGGGTGGGGTAATAAATATAAAAAAATTATTTCTGCCATGATTTTAATAAAAAAAAAAACATATTTATATTTTCGATTATCTGTGAATAGTTTCTGAAAGTTTAATTAACATCCGACAGTTATTTTTTATTTTTGCAAGATTTTTCAAAAATCTGTGTCACACAAAAAAAAAAAACGTGCTAAAAATTTCTATATGTTATTTTACTAGTTCCGGTGATACAAAGAGAAACAAGGTTTTTTTAATCAAAACTTAGAATGTTCTAAAAAGAAGGAAAAAATTTTTAAAATAATTAAAATAAACTTTGGTCTTTCCTCTTAATAATAATATAAACATTTAGACGATAACATTTTGTTTTCGTCAAATTTGGCGTATTTTTCATCATGCTATGCTCTTTTTTAGCGATCTCATGGAGGTACCTAAATTTAACACACCTATGTAAATTGTACATTTTCTTTTTCGAATATTGGCTGAAATATGTTGGTTAATCCGTGTCTCTAGCCTTTGACTCGTTCTGCACTGGCACTGAATTTGTAAATTACAGAACTAATATGATGGGTAGGCAGAACATCCGCTCGGATCGGTCTCAACAGAGACCGGGCACGGAAAACATTACGTGGATTAGCGGAAAAAATAACTTACACCAACTCTAATCTCACTTTTCACCTTAGCAACTCCAATAAATAGATTCTGTTTGGGCACTGAAATTTCTCATTTATTTTGCAACTAATTACATTTTGCACAGAGGAATTTTGCTTGTATATCGTAATCATAACACGCAAATTTTAAAATTGTTAGTTCTTGAATTTTTAGTCTTCAGAATATAATAATGGCCAAGAGCATGTGCGAAAGCAGTTGATAAAAAAATGTTCGGACGATATTTAAACAGTGAACCCAGACCTACAAAGTCTTGTACGCAAAGAAAAGTTAATTCTTTGCTTTTCACAAATTTCCTTGTCGATGGCCTTTAACAAAATACGCATTAACAAAGTCATTCTGACTAACGACACATTATGTATTTATCTATCTCTGTACTTTTATCTGCATACACTTACACACATCAACTTGTCTCAAAGACTATTACTGCTTTGTAATGAGTTCGATCCTTACTAGTTACCCTATTCTCATGACGCTGTGCCTGAATAAATTGAGTAAATACCTCAACTTGGATACGTCTATGCGCATTCTTGCATAAAATATACCCGTATAAATTTATTTTCCACCCTTTATTATACTCTTCGTTTATTTTTTTGTTTTTTTTTTCAATTGCTCTCTCACACACAAAATGCACACCATGTTTTGATCATTTCCTCTCTTACTTATGGCGTCATCATTTTTATACTTTTAAGATACCAACCTCTTTAGTTCTATTACGGAAAGTTCCATTCCTCAACATTGGAGAACATCTGCCGATCCACACCTACAGCACTTCAATGATGGCACTTGTGAGAACAAATTGTATAACCAAATGCAATAAACAATTTCTGTCTGGTGGCCATCTTAACTACAATCGGTAAACAGCCAGCTGAAGTATCGAGCAGCAAAAATACAAGAGAAAGAAACCTTGTAAATTTCCTACATATGTACTGGTTGAATTTTCACTGAAGATCAAATGACAGCAAGGTTTCTCAATACTCCAGCACCCTCCTTATAACATTTGCTGATTTTTAGTGTAGCTCTTATTTGTATCATTTTAATTTTTCTAATCATTTTCAATATGAAACAGATTCAATTACGGTTCATTATATGAGAATAAACATCAACTTCACACGCCGCAATTTTTCAAGTTTTTAACTAGTGGAGTATTGCTCCTACACCTGGATTGAAGCTGCCCAATTATTTCTAGCCTTGATAGCGTTCAGAAACGTCTACGCGGCCTTGTAAGTGATGAATTATTTTTCAGCCTACGACCCTTTTTCCACAGATACAACGTCGCAATTTATCTCTATTTCTATGCCACAAGTTTAGAAGAGCTACATTCATTTGTTTAACCAATTCAGACCTTTACAGACCTGCCACACCGCGTATACCGGGAAGAATCATCCCCATTGCCTTCGTATTCCATTGGTAGAAAGAAGTTCCATTCGGACAGCTTCTTTCCAAGAACCGCTACTTTGTAGAACAAACTCCCAAGAGGACGCTTACCCGATCACTATAATCTTAACCTCTCCAACCTAGGGTAAACCGTTATATTTCCTACATATCCTCATAAGCTGCACGTTTTACCTCCTCCACTTACGTTCATAGAACAACCTTTTCAGTAACCCTCTACCTTGAGTGAGTCTTGGAACTTGTATTGGATGAACAGTAGTAAAATGTTTGCAATATCTAGTTTTTCTATATTTTAGTTCAACGACATTCACTGACAGATTTTATTTTCTTTGTTTACGATGATTAGAGATATCTCCTATCTTGGAGAAGGTGACATCATCGTCATCATTACTACTACTACTAAAACCACCACCACCACCAGCAGAGAACTCTAGCTAACACTTTTAGAGATTTTAAATTCCTTAATATGAGTAATAACTTAATATATCATGATTGTGAAGTAGAGGATTAATACTTATTATATTTCCATAGATGAATTGCTTCATCGTTCTGTCATTGATTCGAAGACAGTCTTTGCTTGATGTCTCATTCGACTCAAACGAGGAT